GTAAGGGTTAGTCTTCTTCCGAACCCCTTTCCTTCTCTCTTTTTGTTTTTCTCTCTGTTTCCTAGCTCCCATGAAAGAGCAGCTCTCTCCACCATGATGTCCTGCCTCGGCAAAACCCCAGAAAAAATGGAGCCAAGTGACCATGGGCTGAAACCTCTGAAACTGAGAGCCAAAGTATACCCTTCCTCCTTTAAGTCATTTATTTCAAGTATTTTGACACAGTGATAAAAAATTGAACACAAGGGCCAAGATTTCCCCTTCCTAGTCTATATATCATGTATAATCCCTGTTGTGGTGGTTAAGAATATGATTAGTCATTCCTATAATCAGGTTATGTTTCATGGCCAATTATCATTCAGGAAGGGAGTTTATCTTTAGTGAGTCTGGCCTAATCGGTGAGCTCTTAAACATGGTTAGCCTATTCTTGAAAAAAGGAGATTTTAAGTATGGGAAAGTTTCAAGCCAAAAGAGATTCTGCACTAATGAGTGAAAGATGGAAGGACCCATGCAAAGTGGCCACTAGAAACAGAAAGCCAACAAGAAAGTAAGGGCTTTAGTCTTCCAACTACAAGCTGGATTCTACTAACAACCCGATGAGCTTGGAAGTGGATTATTTTCTGCAGCTTCCAGATGAGAACTCAGTCTAACTGGAACTTTGAGGGTGAGACCCCCGTAGTAGAGAACCCAGTTGGCTGATCTGTACTTCTGACCTACTAAACCGAGAGCTTAAAAAATCAGTGTTGCTTTATACTTCTAAGTTTGTAGTAATCTGTTATGCCTCAACAGAAAATGAACAAACTAATACAATGACATTCCAATTAAATGTGATTTAGAATTTTCTAAAAATAAAACCTTCCTTGCCTTTTCCTGTCTTTTCCAAAGTTTCAAGCTCTTTCCTCACCATGCAGTTACCAAATGCAACTGGGAAAATATAGTTTTGTCAGATTAAAATCTCTGCTATCACAGAATTACCCCCCCTCCAGTTGATTTAAGATGTAGAGGTGTATGGATTTGGGGTACATTATGTACATGTTTGGGCTGGAGAATCAAACCAGAAAACACAGACTTCAAAAAATGAAGCAAATGATCTGTATATTTTGAAGTAACCCAGATATGTTTCATTCATTGCATCTAGTTATCTTCAAACACAGTAACCTTGACATAATGGTTGAAGAAAAAGGGGAAGCAATGTAACCATAAATGCCTGAGCATTTTAATATCTTTTATCAATAAACATTACTAGAATGCCATGCATTTGAATTCATGCTTTTCCTGAGGGAAACTTGCATTCTGCCTTCTGCTTCCTGCCATTGCAGCTGGATCTAATTACAAGGGTAGGGTTCGCCATGGGAAGCAGGCCTAAACTTTCTAAGCTACAAAAGGAAGGCTGCTCTTCATTAATTAGATGGTGAGATTATGCAGATCAACCACTGTATTATTATATATAACATGGTGGAAAACACTATTATGTGGCTTGTTGATAATCCACCTACATGCTTTAGTTAAGCCTTATTTGCTTAGATATTCTGCCAGCACAAAGGTAGGGTTTGGTGTCAAGTCACAAATCAGATCGTGTTATGACTTTGTGGCTGATGGTTGAGAGAATGCTCTGCAACAAAAGAAACTGAGAATGCTGCATGATCTCTTTCTAACATTTAATTCAGAAAAAATGTCATCTCCAGCATAGCTTAACATAGTGCTACTACGTAATGCAGATAAGTGAAAATATTAACAAGTCAGTGATTCATAACGAAGACTCACTATTTAAAACCCATATTTTCTGCCTCTGTGAAAACCATGGAATTAGATTAAGAGAGAGGCCACCCAATTTTAGATTTAAGCAAATGTGGACAATGGATTTTAGAATGAAGAATAAGTCCTTGGCCACAAAACCTCACCTGAATAATGATGAACTCTTTTAATAAAAAGGAAGAACTCAAGAAAAAAATCTTAAAAGGCTATAATCTAGACAAACTTTAAAGTCAAGGACTCCAGGTAAATCATGATTTAGCTTTACCCAACATTAACCAAAATCTTCCAAGGTGCTAAATTCAGCTCTAAAGAAAAGCTCTTACAAAGCTATTTTGTGACGTAATTATCATCCTTGTCTGCTTCCACTTCTTATACCTGTGTCTTTGCTATGTAGATAATTATTCTGAGGGAAAACACTCCAAGCTCAAATGAAATAAAGGACTTCAGTTTATGCCCACACGGACCTTGTCAAGTAGCCAATGACTTGCCCTTTCATTGTGAGTGACTAATATCAATGCTGGCTCTAAAGAAAGACACTTTTCATAATCGCCCAACAATCTGCTAAGTGAAAACATATGGATGGGCTTAGGCAAAGCCTGCCAGGGGTCTCTGCTGAATGGAAAACAGGTGCTCTCATTCTGTGCCATGTAATACCCCATTTACCCCCAAGTCCAAAGGTTATAGGACTAATAGCTGCCTTGTGGTAATCAGGGAAAGCCAAGACACTAGCCCTGCTGAAACATCTGGGACATATTTTACATACTTGCAACACATGCTTCAGGTTCAATTAAAGTGAGGCTTTGGCACATTTATTAATCTTTTTTACTTTTATCCTATAAGAGGACCCACTGACCTGACCCCACTACTATACCATATGAGAAAACAGAGAAATAATGAGAGCTAGAGGTCAGTACCTGCTCGTATGGCAAAAAACACATTTGTTTTCTCATGAAATTCCATTATGCATGACTCTATACACAAACTTTAAATAGAGGAACCAATGGATTTTTTAAAGGAGGAAATTACCCTTCCCCCATTTGGACACACTGATAGCCAAGACTTACTACATTTACTGCTGCGAGTCAGTCCAGACGGAAGCTGGTAAATGGAAGCTTGCAGGATCCTTCCATATTTCCACATCTTATAGTAAAATCTTTACATTTCAAGATGTCCACTCTAAGATTCTCTCCTATTATGCAAGAACTTAAACATCTGTCATAAATGACTACATTGGAGACTCTTTGTTCAATATCACTTTTAGGCTATCAACTGTATTATGAGTAAAAAAAGAAAAATCTCACATATAATTCAAATAAAAGGGTTAGAGTTATGAAAAACTCAGCTCATGATCATTTCACCTGGGAAACACACAGTTGGCATCTTGTGCAGAGTACAGTTGCATTCATGCAGCAGTTGAAGCCCTCACTTTCAATTAACTTTGGTAACTAGATCTGAAAATGTGTTAGACCCAAGGTGTCAGTTTCAGGCAACCAAACACTAGATTACAATAGATGCTACTCTGGAGATTTGGTGTTGTTTTCACCCTGGCACGTTCCACTTGACATCTATGTTTTGGTGAGCCAGTGAACCAGGTGTGTCTATTTGTGTCCCATGCCCAAAATCTCTCCATTAAAACATGACCATTAAAAGGGGATATTAGAGGTATAGAATATCAAACTTGGCAAAAAAACCATAGTCTGACTTCAAGCAGGGACACTGAAGTACTAGACTTTGCTGAGGGCTTCCATTTATTAATATTTCTGGGGAAATGCCTGCTACCAGAATGGATCTTTATGGTGGCTTTAATAATAAAGCAGCAACAAGCAAGGGAAAATGGCCATAAATGGATGGCTGCTTGGTGTTTATCAGCAGAGAAATGATGATTCAGAGCTGGCATGTGGAGTTAAAATACAAGCTCTCTACAGCTCTACGACTGACCTTAACAATAAATCATATCATTTATTGCCAGAAGTGTATGCTCATGTTATTTAACATTAAAAAACAAGCACATATGTGTTTTTTGCAGGAAGGAAATTTTGTTAGTTTATGTTTGATGATGTCGCTAATGACTAAATGATATACAGGAGAAAAATTTCACATAAAAGCTCCATCAATTTAAAAATGTTTGAGACAGCATTAGAAGGGAGAGAAAGTGTGCTTTTCCATTTTCTGTCAAGCGCTGAATATTAGGGAAAAATCATTTGTGAGGTTACTTAATCACTCTGAATTTTTCTGACATTTCTAATGCTTGCTTCCAACACAACGGTGGGATATAACTGTACATCTGTACTGGAATCAAAGGTCAAGGGCATAAATTAAAACGCTGATTTTCTCCTTCAAAAAATTTCATTGCTTTACTATAACAGAAGTCAGACAGATTCTTGTGAAGGTCAAACTCTGATTTCATATGCAAAACAATGTGCAAATAATTAATGATATGGTCTTCCCTGTCTCCTATTTCACCTTAGGACTTTGTAGGCTTTAGGTCTAGAAGTATCCAGAGACCATAATGTAATAGTATCACCATCCTTCTTGCCATAGAAACCTGTTCTTCCAAACCCAGACAATTGTGGCATTGGTGGTAAAGTTGCCCTAATTCCTCCCTCTAGTTGTCCCCTCTCCTCAGAAGACAACCAATCCAAGCAGTCCTAGAAACTAGCTGTTATCTACAGTGGTCACCAATCCCAAGCCAACCAGGAAGGGAAATAGGAGCGTCTCTGAATGGGCTTTAGGGCCCTTCCCGACCTAGGCAAAGCAGTGAGCACCAGAGCTGTTTAAATGTTCTCCTGTGCCCTGGACACACCTGTGTTCTTCTGCTGAGCAATTCTTTGAAAATTACAGATGGCAACATCTATGTTCAACTCATGCAAGCTGCTATTTTTTCACTCCCCTCTTCCCCTAAAGCATAAACTGATTTGTAATACTCAAGATAGGGCAAATTTTTGCCCTTCAAAAGCAGTTGTCACTGCCATTATCTTCACGAGAGCTATCGAGTTCCAGACAAGCTGAATTATTTTTTTTTTGTTCCTGACAGAAAAATATTTGACCTAGCTCTGGACAAAAGCAAAGAGGATTTATAGCCCTCTCTGCCTCTTTGCAACATGCAGTGGCATTGTTAGGATGATAAACAGCACTGTCCAATTTCCTGGACTCAAACACTTCAACTTCTTTTTTAACTGTCTGTGAAAACAGTGTCATGTCTGCATTTCCCCATCCCCAGGTACCCAAGTGCCGGGAAAGATAATTACCTTGTCATCTTTGTCATCTTCTTCTTCCTCGTCCTCTAGCATGTCCTCCACTACCTGCAGACAGAAACAGAAGTCGTTTTTGTGCTCTTTAAAGGAGAGAATTTTGTTCTGTCATTTTGAATCTTTTGGAAATGAAAACTTTATTAACATTGGAAACACATGCACTGGGAGGAAATGTTTGATCTAGAGAGGGAGATTAGGAAAATGCTCTGCTTTTAATTGATTGAAACCAGGGAACTGAAGCCCTGTGGGAGGATTCCTATTCATGTGAAATGTTTTGTAACAAAGAATTTGAAGTATGCATAAGGTAAACTAACATTAATTTGTGGGGTGCTTTACATCAGGACACCTCCTTCCTACCTATTCTGCTGACTATGTTATTCAGGCCCTTTAAATTTAGAGGTAGATAACTAGGGATGAAGCAGCTCTGTTATTTCTAATTTACGTTTCGCCAAACTCTAAGATTAAAAAAACTATCTCTGATAATTGATTCATACTGGTGGTCTATGGTGTAAAACTAACAGTCTTATGTAGCTCAAATTTTAATTCTTATCTATAGAGTCAACTCTTGACTATTACTTTTTGATTTTGTGGGTTACCTAAAACTCTCATTTTAATTCTCTGTAATTTTATTCGAGGATTATTTTAGAAACTTGGATATTAAAACAAAATTAGAAATGTATTCTACAACAAATGTGTATAAAATATAGGTATAATTCATGTAGGTAGATATATATGTGTATTTTTTCAATGGCTCTTAGTTCACCTACCTCAGTAGAATGGAACAGTCATTTTGGATTTGCCAAATAATTTCCCTTTGCCTTGATCAACATATAAATGTAGGCATGAAGAATCAGACTTCATTTCAGTTGGGTTTTTGAACGGTTTCATACACATAAATAAATACACATACCAAAAATATAAAAACCCCTGGGATGGGGGGTTGTTATTCAGGGGAGTCCCAATTTATTGTATTTATGACATTTTACATAATTTCTAAATTCTTATGGTGCTGTTTTCTAATGCAGTCTGAATATAACTAGAATCATGGTTATCAAATATTTTAAAACCTCTCTCTCAAAGCTCATAACTTTAGAAGATAGAAACACCAAGCCCTTCTTTCATGTGATTTTTTGATACCCACAGGAATAGCCTGAGTGAAAACTTCAATAACCAAGACTGTATTATGCAAGGGGTTGTATAAACTGAGGTAATATGTCTCAGTTATTTCTAATACTTTTCTGAAATATTTAAAAAGTATTAAACAACTTAAAAGACTGAAACCTTATCAACCAATTTATAACCCAAAGCATCTGAAAATCTATAAAATTTTTCCTAATTTAATGTACAATTAATTTACCTATTAAAACATAGGATTCCATGGTCTTTCACTTGGACATTAAGCATTTTGAAAGAATTGCAGCAGTACAACATGCTGTTTCTAATGTATGCTGAGAGCTCAAACTAATTTGGGAACATATAAAGCAATTCAATGAGAAAGATGAACTCTTGATATTCTAACTATATTCAGCCACCCCATAAGCATTTATTATTGACCATAGAACGAGGTAATATGGGAATACAAAAATAAATAACACATAGATATAAATAGGGACTATCACATAAGCCTTCATGTTGACTTTTAATTTTCTCACATTTGTAGTATTCACATCTCAAGTATGCAGACAACAATAGTAACAGTGTATACTTCAGGTGACAGATGTCAGGCTCTTCCAAATTGGGCTTTTTGCGATGGAGGTATGAAAAGGAGAAGCAGCCATAATATTTCCATACATCAGGTTGCATCAGAAGAATTCACCTAATCTTCATAACATTAAAAAAAATATTGTACCTATAATAAAATTATCTTTAAAATTTTAAATTTAAATGAAGCAAATTTTTTTTTGTTAAAATTACCCATGTAGGGTCATATCAAGTATGCCAGGAAAAACAAAATGAACACAATAATTTTACTGCTGTGATTAAATTCCAGCAATATTGTGGTTAGTTATCACTAAAAATGTATCAGATACCTCATCTCTGTAGTACTCACACTGAAGGTTCACTGTAGGCCGAATGGTATAGAATTGTGCCTAGATTGGAAGGTACATCAGGTGTGTTCAAGAAATACCTTTCATTGAGTGAATAGATGCATATACTATCAATCCTTCATATCTTTGAAACACTCATTGGTCAAGTATCTACCCTTTATCTTATAGGCTGGACTTTGCTCACTGAGAGAGACATATCTAATCAATGATATGGATTAACAAAGTCAAATATTCCAAATGCTTCCAAATATTTGTCTGGAAATATCTGAATACTTAATCTTTGTTTGAAGGCTTGGGGTTCTCCACTCTCATTCATACTAATTTTAAAAATTCAAAGCCACCAGCTTAACTTATACGTTTTTCGAATCAGCTGTGACTCTTATGCTCAAGTATGACTCAAAGAAGTCTACAGAATTAGGCTCTTTATTTGCAAAACCCAAAATGTTCTTACCCTGCACAAGTGAGTAATTGGCTACGCACAATTGCTCCACAAATGTGCAGCCAGAACCACCCAATACAGCCATTTGCTTTTCCATTTGGCAGAAAAGTGTTGTGTTAGTGAGGGGGCCTTTGTGTTGTGTTTTAGCACTCTAGTGAGAGCTTTTCCCTCCTCCAGTGCCTTTTTAATGTTACATCATAAACATCTATAAGTGAGGATTTATACTGCAGATGGTTTCCTATTGATGCCTTTAAGCCACTTCAGAATGAATCCCCTTATTACATTTTGTTCAGGTGAAGCTTAAGGTGCCTTGGAAAATGGAGATGATAATAGTTCCTGTCCCAAAGGGCTGGCTTAGGGTCTGACAAGATCACATAGGTAAAGAGCCTAGCACAGTTCTTGTCCCAAAGGAAGTTCTCAAAATCATTAGTTATTAATACAAATAAAATATCCACACAACATTTTCAATGTTAATTATTGGAAATTAAATTCTATCTCTTTTTTTTCTGGGCAAAATATCCTGTGTTCTTAATGCCATAAAATTTCAATTCATTCTTTCACCGACGCTGAGTAAGGACAGGGGTGGAGGTAGAGGTGTGGATAAAGATTCCAGATTAAGACAGTGTTTTCACTACTAATCTTTTGCTTTAATGTTCCAGCGAAATGGTTGGCTGAGAGGGCAAGAATGTCGCAGAAGCTGAGCTGAGCTTTGAGACATAAGCTTTAGCCAAATGCAATGAATATAGAAACTGCAAACTGAGCTTTTAAAAACAAACTGCATATATCACTGAAGTGCATTTCATGACTACACAAAATTGCAACCCTTCCCAGAGAACTCAAATAACACCTGCTATTTAAAAAGAGTGCTGGAGTTTAACACTTAAATAAGGAAAATAGATAAAACACAGGAGTCCTACTCTTAAATTCCAGATCTTTCCTCTTCAAATAAAGCCAAATAACCACTAGTTTTGTTTTGAAGTCCGGTTGCCCAAATGTTTGTCAGCACTAAGTTAATAACACACACACGTAGGATTTCCTTCAGGGAAAAAAATAAAAAGACTGACGAAAAAAATGCATGTGTTAGAAAAGATACATTTACAAAGTTGAGTTTTTTCTTCTTTTTTTCTTAAGGGAGAATATCTCATCTCGGCTCTGGAATTCTCTTTCCAAATTAGGCTTTCTGATACCTTGCTTGAAACCAAGTAGTATTAATCAAACAAAGGAAGGGCACCAGGGAAATCAGAAAGATGTAATGCAAGCAGTTAAAAGTGACATGACCTTCTGTAATGTCGCTCGTCACAGACTTATATGCCACACACTGCGGGAAGGTCTTGAAAGAAACTGATTCCTGGTACTATTCCTTGAATGTAATACTAATAAAGATGACATTTTAAAAAACACACATAGACAGCCCCAAATGCACTGTGTGCCAGCTATATTACAGCCAAAGAATAAGCTGATAACATTATTTTAAAAGCATAATATTTCTTCTTCCATATTCAATATTTGCTGAACATGTCATTAACATATAAAATACAATACATACCCATACGTTTTAAAAAAACATTTACAAAATGGAGCAAAATTGCATTTATAGAACTTATATATCTTGTAATAGTTCTGGGGTGTTCTTTTAATATTGTAAGACTTAATTGTAATCCACCACAACAGAACATTTTTGTGATTTAAGATGTAAAATTATGTTAATAATGATGGTAATCTGAATAAAAATATGACAACATAGAATTATTCTAGCTGACAAAGATATATATATGGGAGATGACCAGAAGGAGGCAATGAAAAGAAGCCCAACACAGTGGAAGAACGCAAAAAAGTAGATTCAGGTAAACTTCATTGTGAAAAATCATCATGGATATTAATTATTGCTTTTTAATACTAAGTCAGGGTACATGTTTAAACTCAACATGACAAGAGGGAGTTAAGAGGTACTTGAATAATTCTTAAAACACTTCATATTCTGATTTTCCCCAGATTAATGTCTTTCACTTATTTAAATCCCTTTAAGCAAAAAAGAACCAAAAGAATCTTGGTTATATTAACCTTGTTAAGTATGGAGTAATGTGAAGGCAAGGCTGATAGAAACTGATTTCTTTTGTATGTTTACTTTTTTCCTTGAAAATAATCTTTGAATTAAATGGATGTTTTTCTATGCTCAGAATGAATAGTTGCACAATTCAAATTGCTTTACTCAAACACGGTCTCTAAAAGAGCAGCACATGTAAATTAAAGAAGAAATCACTGCTGTCCAGATGTGCAACTGCAATGTTAAAATATTAAAGAAGAAAATGTCACAAAAGAAGTTTCAAATTTAATTTCATATTTATGGAACATCCAAATGTGTAAAGATGCTTATGTTCTTATACATTACAAACAAAATGCCTTCTTCCACCATAGAGATATGAAAGAATTAGGGGAGAGTGATATTCTTCAACGTGGGCTGCAGTTCATTTATATCCTCGTGTCTACCTAAACCAGGAAGGGCATGTATTTTTGACAGTGGTTTTATTATACATATAAGTGCAATGTGAAGGTATAAAGTGGAA